TTTGATGATGCATACTTAAACCGTTTGGAATCACGTGCATATTACATGAAAATAACTTCAATTTTGCTACAAGCGAATGGCCGGCATTCACTAGAGCATCACGATCCGCTGCGGCTAAACATTGGGGAAATATGCAAGGGTGGAAAGCACTGAATGAAACTGCCCGACAATGGACCGGTGAATATTGCGGTGAATATCGCGGTGAATATCGCGAAAGAAGCTCCTCATAAGTAGACTAATTCACTACATATTAGTAACCAAACAAGTGGAGTTATTACACTAAAATATTAATAAGAAGGCAACGGGGTCCAAGAGGACCACGTTCCTTCAATAGCTAGCTGAAGCATGTTCTTGAAATGACTGCTAAATTTAATGTAGAATATAACATTCGTAACATAATATACTATACTCTTCAATCTGGATTTCCTTTCAATGAAATTAGCAGTTTTCGGGCACAAGTTTTGGGCATCTCGGTAGTGTTCGCGCTAAGACAAGCAACGGATTTCCTGTGTCCTACGAAAAACCCTCGGCGGTATACTGGGTTTAATAAAAGCGCGAACGGTAGAGACCAGTCTTCTCGATCTGGTCAAACTAGTTATCCTCATTTGTTTCACCCGATAATCTGAAACGGCGATATCCAAATTGTTCACAATAACGCACATGCTTACTCACATTGTTGCCGGATTTAGGTGAATTGGGAGCCCGCCTTAGCTGTCTATCTACGTAAATGATCTTGGATTATGGAAGGTCCTTGTCCACCTGCCAGACAAAACGTTAAACTGACACCCGGTATTTCCGAAAATATACAATTAAGGCGCATTCAAATGCAGCTCACACTGCCCGGCGATCCAAAATTACCATAATGAACTCTGCAAAATTATTTCACCTGAGAGGGGCTACGGTATCAATGTTTATTTTTACAAGGCGGCAATAGATGACTTTAGTGTGATCGAACGATTCCAACTATCCTAAACTTCCCGGCTGATATAGCATTGCATCGCATTCCTTCGTTTCATTCTTTAGTTGCCAACCGGTACCTCATTCTAAAGCGCATATTCTTGTGTAGAAAGTTCGCCATGTAGCATTATGATGTTGTCATTTTTTTCGAAATGTTTTATGAAAGTACTTGGTTTTCCTAGGAAAACTTGTAATATCGAGCTCAATCGCTTCTCGCAATATTATATATCATGCACGAGAGTTGCGCAAATTAAAATAAACAGAGAGGCATGTTGTGCCGTTTCATCAACCTGCCGTACCGAAGGGCAAATATATACCAACATTCAAGTTGCTACCGGATTGCAGAAAAGTTGACCTGACAACAATTGTGCAAGCGCGGCCGCAAGTAGAAAATGACATGAATGGAGATGAGTTACAAGACTAGCATAGCCAATTAAAGCATTACGGAACAATCATGTGCATTTCAGGATGATGGATTCGCGAAAATAAAATGCGCGACGCTTAACTGTTATCCCTCCAGGGATTATCCAGACATACGCAGGCTTTCAATTTAAAATCCTAGTGTTCTCCAATATGTTGCTCGGCGTCAGCGCCAGTAAGCAACGCCGGAATGATCTAGCCACGCTTTTTAGTTTACATCGTCTAAGAAATTTTGATAATATACAATACAAATCACTTAGCATCTTCTCGGTAGTTCTAACCAGCTTTAATAAGGATTTCGTGACGCTCAAGTTGAGAAAATTATTCCAGTGTCCGTTGGTCAAAATAACACTCGCACTAACGTTTGCGCCTAGAGAGCAATTCAGATTTCACAAGATTTGTTTTCACCGAATTCACCAACGCAAGATTCGTGTTTGCTTCGTGGTTGGCTGGCTCACCATGCACACCAACTTACCTCGGCCCAACTGTTAACATATGAATGCTTTGACTAAACCATTTATTGAGGAAAAACATAAGCATACGGTGGATTCCGCCATGTTAATCTCGAAATCCTCTGCTGAACTTCTGCTTACTTGCGATGATTCCCTGGCATTTGATCGAAGGTTACTGCCCGGCATCTTGACCGGAGGGCGACTCCTGTCTTCTGTACGTTCAGGATACCAATACATTTCGTCGCATGTGACACGCTAACTCACAAGAGGAGTCAGCCATCCCATCGATTCTGGCCAAAGGGAAGTGGAGCGTTCTCGAGGCGTTGCAGTTTTGCTCAACGAGCAGTTTGCGCTTCCTCATCCAATTCAGCAGTTATACTATAGCAGAAAGAATTGACTTCAATTAAACCCCGATTTCCATGCACTTTAGTCACTTTTAGTGAATAGAATTTCCATGATTACACCTAAGTGTCTGACTTGACAGTTTTTCGAATATTGTAGGACTTGCCTTCAGAAGACCAGGCTAGCACTCAACTGCACAGACAGATTTATTCCCTTTTCAATACAATTCGAACAAATATGTCGTTGAGCGTCAATTAATTTTCACAAGCATCATCATCAAAACTTCAAAGCCAACTGAACAGTCACCCAAGAATCTGGAACTTACCGCCGTATGACGCTTTGAGCACCTCATCGACCTCATCGCTATACAGCGATTGTCTCCGCAACATTCGGCGGGTCTCTCATACCAGGTTGGTCGGGGGCTAGAGGTCTGACAAACACAGTCACCTGGTCCACCAGATTGTGTGTTGGAACATGTGGCGACATGTTCCGTAGAAATGATAGTGCATTTGCGCCAAATATCACTGCCGTGAGATTGAGCTTTTGTGTCACTCTGGTTGAATACCCTTATCGCCATCATGTTTGGGCGTGGGCCCCATGAAAATATCGCAGTCCATGTGCAACCATGAAGTGCGCACAAATTAATCTGTCGCTTGATCGGACGTTGCGTGACGCCATCAGTCGGGTCGCATTGTTTGCTGCATACAGCACGGCTCATTAGATAAAACAGGTTACTGCTGCAGTCTCCATTGCTCTTTTACACATTTTGCTTCCCCCTCTTTCCACCCCGACAATAAAATTCCCCTGCAGACCTAGCGCTTATATCCGATGAGTCCATTCAACCTGCATCGGTTTCGCCTGTGACATTCGCTCGTCAAATGTCACTGACATCGTCAGGTCCCTTCAAATGAATCTGAGGGCCTCAATCCATGCCTTTCTCGCCTCCTTCAGTGTTCTCACACTGAAGCAACCAGGGCAACAAGCAGCCCTTGCTCTCACACTGGACTCGCTTGACGCTGCTGTGTGCTGTGTCTTGAGAACAAGAAGTCGAGTTGCAGGCACGGCGATTGAGGTGACCTCCTTTTTATTCTGCACCCGCTTCCGGCTACGCAACACCGGGGATGCATATGCCGCTGCAGCGTGATGTGTAGTGGTTGTTGGAAGTGTCCTTGCTTGACTGGATATCCATTGATAGTCGTCTTTACGTGGTTCGTCTGACATTGTCTGTAGTTGAGACTAAAAACTAGAATTTGATAGACGTTTCTTTATCGTTCTTACCTGCGCCCAAACTGACTGGAGATTTGGTGCCTTCAAATATAGGTTTTATTACGCTCTGCTGCAGTGAGCTAAAAGCTCAGACATCGTGGCCGTTGTCGGAGATTTGAATGCAGAATTGGGCTGGCTTAACGTAACTCGTCATCGTGTATTGGACTCGATAAGTATGGATAACGCTGAACCATTGCTTTAGCTGTGCACTGATCACAGCTTATTTTGATGCACACCATCTTCCAAAATAAACGAATCGTCTGGCCACATGTTGCCTTCCAACGACTGATCGGCTTCAGACTCAAACCGAATATCAAATACCGACCCTATATCTTGGATCATTATTTGACTGCCAATCGTTTTACAACACATTTTTGGATTTCGACCACGTGCTCATTCAAGGTCGCTTCTCCGTATGTTTTCCAGGGCCGCCTAGTGAGCGGACAAATCGCCTGGCAACTGTAAGATGATCTGGCCATAATCGTGTTTAAGAGTCTGTTCTAAACGCTCCACTATCAGATGTGATCACATACTGTAAGAGGATCCTCACCTCTTCGCACTGTGCTGCTAATCCCCCCTTTGGCACGGCACCATCAGGCGCACTCAAGCGCTAGACATCACACCGAGTGGCAGCTTCGCCTAAGTCTAAGAGAAATACCAAGTCCGGCCCGCAGCATAACTTTGTTAGACGAATTATCAAACGCCGAGTGAAGGCAAATTTGCAAACCGTGAAGTGTGGTGGGCACAAAAAGCAAAGGAGATGGAAGAGGCCAAGAAAACCGATAATTCCCGAAGTATATTTTAGTGGACAAACACTGAACCAAATAATTCGACTAACAATCGTCATGGCCCCCAGCCAGCACTCATCTACAATCCACAGGCAAACTAGCACTCTGGACGGCCGAAGTAGAAACACGTAAGTCTTCGGAGGATGTGACTGCATATGTGTTCTGAAGCCCCACCGAGCCTCTGGCCCCGTTGGCCACCTAATCCTGTTGCTCAATGATGAGGGAGAAGTGCCCAGTCAGAGCTTGCCTGATTTTTGATAGCATTTGGAGAAGGAGCCTGTCCCTATAATTAAACACGGTTTCTGAGTGCTAATTTTCGAAAATAGGCGCATAGTTAGTGTTGCAACCACACGAGGATCAGCTAGACCCAGGCCGTGACGAGTGTTTGCGTCCCTTGTGCTTTGTAGCCTTACGGTGTCTCGTGGGACACTGACTCGAGCGCAACAAACGGGATTTTGGCCTGGCATGGTTTGCATCGACCGAAAGTTTCCACACCGCTATGTGGTGGAAACAAAAGAGCCTAAATGCTAGTGTTACTGGATGTGTTGGGAGCTCTTAAATCGATTGACCGCTCTGTTGCCCATCAAGGAACGCCCCGAACGTACATTCGCATAATACACTCTTTGTATCCCCAGATTTCCGGGCGTGGTTTGGTATACGGCGAAGTCTCTAAAAGAGGTTCCCTACACAAAGTTGTGTCCGCCGTTGATGCACCCTCTCCACGTTCTATTTAATTTTGTGATTGATTAAGTCGCGAATGTCTCCATAACGCGATATTCCTAGACTGTCAAGAAAACCTTGTCGATCTGGAATATGCGGATGACACCATTCCCACGTCTGAAGAGGGGAGAGCGCAAGTCTTACTGGATGAACCGAAGACATTTCTTCCATCCTTCGGCATGTACTTTGCACTCACAAATAGTTGGACTATGCTTTTGGACATGCGGGTACTGAACATTCCACCTACGATCTAGGGGGAAGCATCTAATGTTCTGGAACGTTTTACGTAACTTGGAAGCTGTATCGGTTATGATTGTAGTGTGGCAGATGGGGTGATCGCAGGCATCTGCAAGGATCGAGATCGCGAGAGCTAATTTGAGAAACCGATTGCGTCAAAAACTTATCCTTGAATCTCAGGAGACTTGTATATCAAGGTGCAGTGCAGGTCGTATAGTTTTATGGCTGTGAGGCTTGAATTTTCGGGCGGCGGCAACTGCGACATCTTCAGGTGTATGACAATTGTTGTCCCAAAAAATTGCTTGTGTGTGTTGGTGTCGGTCAAACCGTAACGAGGCGATTAGAAGGCGAATTTTCGGTTGTGCAGCTGGAACGTCTATTGAACAAAATTTTTACAGAACCATAAGCTTCGTTGGTTGGGACATCGGGTGCGTTGGCCTAGATCGCCGTAAAGATTGCTGTTTGCCATGCTCAACACAGTGATCCGCAATCAGAGAGGTGGCCGATTCTTGACCTGCCGGAGGGCTGTGAAGATTAAAAAGCCTTCCGGTTATGTCGGTGCTACTCGCCTTCCGAAACGGGTACCGCGTGATCGTCACTGCTCTTAGTTGATGGCGGTAACCAATGTTGTTGAAGATCTTGTTGTCAGCTCCTATCCAAATCGCCTGAGTGTTCGGAGGTGTAGGCATATCCTTATATTTGTAGTATGGTAGCACCGATTTCCTTCCCCGTCAACCTCCATTCTGGTAATCAGAACAAGGCGTTCAAATAAATCACGGTTGCACGGCATCGAAGCATAAGTTTTGAACACTGATCTCACACCGTCGATGATGATGATACACGTTACTTTTATGGACGACATTAAGAAGAAGACTGTGCTTTTAATCCCCTCGTTCCTCTTAGACTGAGTTTTTCGGGAGCAAGGTACTTCATACTCATTCGCACGACATTGGGTGAAACATTTCAGAATTTATTAGTCGACAAACAATCGGCCAGCTTTTTATCATTTGTGAGAATATTTCACCAATCTGCAGGCGGTTGGGTGCACTTTTTTTCAACACTGCAAAAGATTGATCCTAGGAGCTCAAGATATCGATTTTTTGAGTTATAGCACATCACACAAAATATTTCAGTGATATCGGTCTTCAAAATTTTTTAGGTTTTCGAATGACGGAAATTTAGTGAGAGAGAATATCCTGGACCAGATAAAGATGCTTCAACACGACTGCATGAAAGTCATTATGGATGTCGAATAATGCGACATTAGTTCTTTTCAAGGCGAGAAGGATCAGCGTAAATATTTGGACGTTAATTGTTGACGAACCTTGAAACTAAACATCCGGAAGTACTAATCATAGAAAAATATGCCTCCACAATCTTACTCTTTCATACAAGGAACTTTAATTAAAAAACTATTGAGATAACATAATAACCAGCAAGAAGTGCGTTATTCAGCGAGTACCGAACCGAAACTTGTTGAACAATTGGTCGTACCTTTGCATCATTTTTACACCCATGTTGCTCTTAACGGGGTTCCAACATACCAATGCTAATTAGGTCTCTCACTCTATAAACTGGCATAGGTTGATTGATTTTACTGGATGTAATAGCCATTTCGAACGAAAAATTTCATTAGAGCTGTGATAAGTTTGGAAAAGGGAAGTAATGGAATCTTCAAATATTTGGTCAAATGGTCAAGCGTATTTAATCAATCAGGTTGTTTTCCCATCATTGGTGAAACTATTATAATCAGAATGCTCCAAAATGCCCAGCCTGATCGCATATATTTAACTGAACGAGTGCATAAATGTGGAATACAGATGAACAACTCTCTACTCATCACGCTCTTTGCCGAAATGAGGCAGATATATCCCGTATTTTGTTGATATAGAAAACCCTCATATGAATTTCGCCCGATGGTTGTTCATATTTCCTCTAGCAAAGTTCTGTTTGTAGTGACCTTCCTCGTGCCAGCCAGAGAGTTTGTACTAGTCATTCACACTATACCGGTAAATATGTGTAAGTCTGATGACCATTAGGTTTTCCGCTGACAAAATAAGACGTTTTAAAAATTGTGGGGCAAATCCCTTTATTTAAACGCCTGTTGTCCCAGCCTCGCTCTATCCAGGTCCAACCTCGACATATGAATTTCAACACTGTTGATACCAGAACTTTGTGCGCAAGCCGATTTTCCTCAAAGTAGAATGACAAAAAATGAGGCGATATTTTTGGTGGACGAACATAAGGTGAGACAGCAAACGTTTACTGCATATTTGGGGCATTTGTAACACTCCTCGGTCACGTTCGCATGAAGAAGACGGAAAGTGCCACATTAAACGTGATTTAAAATTCGTAATAACAGAATGATTTCCGCCTTGAAATAATTGCATGGTACCATTGTGTGCATGTAGAGTTTGAGTTGGATATATTAGCTGGCCTTGCTAACTAACTCGAAATAGTGTGGCAGTTTCATATTCCCCCGATAACTTTTGAAGAGTTGCCACCATCCTGACAGCAGTATTTTACCTTCACCCAACGTGCTTAAACAAAACTCACCATTGTTCACAGTGTTCCTGAACAACCAGGGAACCCATATAAAAGCGTGCGTAACAATGAATTTTTGCGAAACAAGGCGCTGAAACAAGGCAATCTGATAATTAATAGTAGGCATAGGGAACACAGTTAACTTTTGATGATAATTCAAAAATTGTCCAATTGATTTAAATGTATACGTATTTCTTCTAACTGAAAATCAACCTATTATTTTTATTTTCCCTCAAAAACTAGATTAAGTATTTCTAACAATAATTTCATCGTGTGCAATGAGAATTAATTTGATATCCCCTATCCCAAAAGAGTTTCTCTTTACTTGAATAAAACTGTAAGTGTTGATAGGACAGTGTTGTAATATTCCGTGGAAACCGAGAGGAGAAATTTTCCTTAACTTCGTTGGCTTTCATGAAAGTTTCGCCTTTGATCCGTAAAGCGCAACTTAGGCCAGATTGTCGCGGGTAACACCTTGCATAGTTTGGCTGCCTGTAATGCTCTACAAGCAAAAATTTGCATCACGCGCCAAATTAGTCTAATATATTACATCAGCAAAAACAACTAATGAAGTGCTTTTCTGTCTCAGAAGTGATGTGTACCTACTGCCGCATGACCAGAGCGTGACTGAGAAGTAGAAACACGCAAGAGCAACTAGGCCACTGGGAC